GGAAATAGGATTTTTCATAAAATGTGTCTGTGACACAGGGGGGCTCAAGATCTTCCTGTAATTAAACCAGGCTAATGAGTTAGACCCTGCTACCATGAAACATCCAAATGTTTCGGACAGCAACCTCCACAAATTCACTGCTCTCACAGTGGACAGCTGGGCAAGACTCTGCCATGTGGACAGGGAGCTCACAGTCTGGTGTCAGGCTCATACCCCATCTGGATTTTACCTGCCTTTTACAGTTTCCTGAAAACAAAGCAAGATTCACTTCAGCCCACAAGGCTCCTGACACCCATGTGCACCTGCTTCATCCACAGGCAAGAAAATGAGGTGTTTCTTGGTAAATTTGCCACCAGATTCCTATGCAAGTCTGCTGCTTCCCCACACTGGTGGCCAGGCTTCCACTGTCAGCAGCTGAACTGCGATCTCCATCTTGAGATTGACTGAGTGTTTACAGCGCTGCAGAAACGCACAGCAGAAATGCAATGATTATTCTTATCTCATTGGAAAGACTGCACACATTTCCCTGCTTGAGATCATCTTCTCTGGGGACCCATTTAAAACGAAACCACTGCGTTTCTGAAAACACGTCTTGGGCATGAGATCTGTGTGTTTTCCTGCCTCAGCCATAATAAAATGCAAAAAAAAAAAAAAAATTGAATCAAAGTGTGCTCCTAAAAACTATATCCTTCTCCTGCATGCTTCCCTCTCTTCTCTACACAAATACAAGCCCTGGAAGGTGAAAGATTTCAAACTCATTATTCAGCATGAAACAGTATTTAGAAGCATGGTGCATAACACAGCTACTCTACAAATATGTCCAAACAAACATAAAATTAGTCTTTCATGGCTCGGAGAGCACATTTTTTTAGCCCAGTCTTTAACTTAATAATTTCTTTACAGGAGAAAGCAGCCCATATGCCATCAGGTAGCTCCTAGATTCCTAGGTCAAGCAAAGTGAGGAAATGAATAGGTCCATTCATGCTTCAGACAGGATAATTCTGGCAAAGCTGGTGCTGACAGTGTTAAAGAGCAGTGATGGAGGAGCCTGGCCTTGTCATTCTAATTGTGACCATGAGTGACAAAAAATGCCTTCCCCTTGCCAGTGGAGACCAATCTTTCAGGTTTGTAGAATCCAAACCGTGCTCAATGTTGTCATCTGGCATTCAAGGAGCAGAAAATTCACCCACTCTTTGCCTGCTTTGTCTGAACCTTCCCTGGCTCTGGCACAGCAAAACACAGGAAGGGCTGGACATTTTGGGGCTGTACAGGGAGAAGAAGGGTGGTACCAGAGTGTGAAACCAGCCCTGTGCTCTGGTCTCTGGCACAGAGCTCCCCTGAGCTCCAAATGCTGTGATTCCCCAGCTGTGATGGGGAGCAGAGCCTGCCTGGGTGAGAGGGGTCACTTTGGAAAAGGTCATTTGGTGCGTGCCCATCTCCTCCTTGTTCCACAGAGGAGATGGATCCTCTGGATCTGGGAGGAATGGCCAGGTAACAGTGCAGGAGCAAAAAGAATAAAACAGTTGTCATAAAGAACCAGGAGAGCTGTCATGGACTGAACCCCATTCCTGGTAACAGCAAAATCTCCCTCCCTCATCCCTTGCTTCAAATCATGCTAAGTATCAAAGAAGCATTTTTCTCGCCCAAAACAGAATACAATTTTCCTTAGAAAGGCTCTAAATCCGATGAATTAAACATCATCTCTTGCAACAACAAAGGGAAATTAGTATCCCCTCTTACTTTCTTCTTCAGCAGGGCAAGGTAGGGACTTCACCCCAGACAGACAATTCAAATAGCTCCCATAGGCATTTCCTACACCACTCCTTCAGAGGGACCATATTAAAAATAAACTAATGCTGTAGGCAGCTTCGGAAAATGACTTCAATGGTATTTATTGCTTTGATAGGGTCAGTGCACAGTATGTGCATGTTGCCTTTTAAACATATGTTTCAGGCAAAGAATCAAAGCTAATTTCAGTGTGTGAAAAGCAAGCAGATTTCATTACTGATTGTGACTTTAACATCAAAATGATAAGGATGCTGGATGTAGGTTCTCAAAACTGAATGTCCAAATGGGAATTTATGATGTAGAACTTCAGCTTTATCAACCATGGGCTTCAATATAGAAAGAAGAAAGAAATTCTCTGCTACCAGGAATCTCACAGTTAACCCATGAGCCAGCTGACTGTTTTCCCACTCTCTAATTCTCCCTGCAGCTATTTCCTATCTGTAACATGTTAAAGCAAGAATGGCCATTGGCACTAACCACTTCTGGCATCCAAGTGGTGGATATGAAAGAGATCTGATTTTTTTCTTTTTTTTTTACACCACCACAATGCAGCCTCACTTTGACTCTTTGCAGAAGTGTCAGCAGAATTCATAACAAACCCAATACAATCTTATGGAAAGAAAAATAAAAGGCCTGCTAATAAATTTAATATTTTTTTTCTTTTTTTTTTAATGAGGATTCCTCGCGCATTATTGCACCAGATCTCGTTCCCAGCTTCAGGCAACCATGTGTAATAACCCTTCACAAATGCTCCCAGGAAAAAGGTGAACCCATAGAATTATTAAAAGGCTTCAGCACCAACAAGTGAATGAATGAGGACTTTTCACAATGTTTGCCACAAGGTCAGATTCAGGATTCACTAAAGGTAAACACCAGAAGGTTCAAACACTGTAGCCTAAAGGTAGATATCTAACTCAGATTTAGATAGCTAAAGTAGCCACATTTTCCACAAGATATATTGAACACCTCTTTAGCTATGAAAGCAAACATAGCTAAGTCACCATTGAGGAAGAAAAAACCACTTGGATATCCATAAAAGACCTTAAATATTTATGTTAACATGTATAAAAATGCATGTACACATTCAATTAGTATCTGTACATATGCAAGTGTGTAGAAATACTTCTGCACACTCCAGAGAGCCTCATTTGCACAGTGGGAAAGCACCCACAACTTCACTTGGAGTCAAAGAAAAAGTGCAGGATTATGAAAAATAATCAACCCTTTTTTTATTTTTAATGCCCCTGCCTACAATTACAGTCGTGCACTCACGGCTCTGAAAGGCTTTGTCCAGGTCTGTTTAACAGCACCACACTCCCCTAGGTTCAAATGACACCTTTGAAACAACCAGAGCAGTAAATCACACCTCTTTATTATCATCTCAACAAGAATGATAACAACCTGCTCGGCTTGGTGAAATACCCATGGGAATTTCACCCAATTACGTGGGGATAACGTATCTTTCATGACTTTAGCTGTCTACCATTCCCATTGTGTGCTTGGTAGCCAGCCACAAAGGACACAATCCACTGAAGCAAAATGTATAGACAAGGGGTTAGCCATTTCAAGAGTGGAGAAAAGGAGGTAGAAATCGAAGGAAGAAAGAGGAGGATGACACAGAGCAACTGCTCAGCTTAGTAGCACAGCTGCTTAAACAACTGAATAGCAATCAATGGGTTAGCATTCAATCCAAGTTTAGATCACATTGAAATCTATTAGAATACTGCATATAATGAATGACTCTTACTTATTTGGTATTCTATCTTGGAATTAATCAGCTCAGTTGTTATGCAGGGGGAAAAAAATTAAAAGAAGAAAAAAAAACAAAAAAAAGCCAGCGAGTAGACAGGCCCAAACCCCAAGAAAAACAGCCACCTTGATTTCCCTGGTGGTTAACAGCCTGACAGGGCTCAACAACACAGGCTGAAGTTGAACAGTGTGAGAAGCAGTGCAAGGTGAAGGTTTTCTGGCTGTTGGGGCAGCAGCCTGGTTTGTGTGAGCACAACTTGCCCCATCCCCTCCCTTCCAGGCTCTCACAGTGCTCGTGGGGTTGTACCATCTGCTGGAGCACAACCCAGAGGTAGCTTTAAAGTGATGATAGCTCTGGGAAATGATAATCACTGGGTCATAGAAAGCTGTACTGCAGTGTATAAATAAGATAACAGAAAGTGCTGAGCAGGGCATGTTTGCATTATGAAATGTATTTTCCTTTTTCCTGTATAAAACCTGTCTTGAAAGCGTGGGGAATGCAGCAGGATTGAAAACCAGAAGGAAAAGCAACACAGCCCCAGAAGCTGCACAAAGGAGGAGGGGGATGGAGGAATGGTAAGCTGTAGTATTATTGACTGAGGAATGATAAAAGAGGAAGGAATTCAACAGTTACATCTATTTTGCTTGGTGCAATGGCATGAGATCAAAGGCTTACGTTCACATTAGCCCAGAATAATGCATACTCCATAAATGATGCAAAGCTAGGCCACATTCCCAAGATGTGACAATGCCTCAAGATGCCCCTTTGCTAAGTTCAGGTCAAGGCAACAGGCTCCTGCTTGTGAAATCCTTTTTCAAAGCACACAGACATACTTAAACCACTGGGCATGGAGATCAACAACATCCAGGACAGGCAGGATGTCCTCCACTGTCTTCTACTTTTCCACAGATGGCTTTGCAAATTCATTCAATTGTCTTTCATTTGCAGGAGTTTGTTCCCAATTGCTGTTGATATTTCAGAAGATCCAAACTGTCCACCCAAGAACAGAGAAGCTCGGGCTCAGAAATTGTGCTTTGTTTGATTTGCAAAGCAGGTATCAGAGCAAAGAAAGCATCAGGAGATAGCTCAAATCCTAGAGATGTGTCTCAGTCCCACCTCAGCACTGGTAACCTCTGTGACCTTGATCAGCTCACCTGGGACAGCCCTTTTAATGGCTGCAGAGCCAGAACAATGTCAAATGGCTCCTGAAAGCCCCAGTTTTTTGGTTTTTTTTTTTTTTTTTTTTTTTTCCCTGAGGCACGTTTGTCAAAAGCCACTTAAAGATTCAGATCAGCGCTGGTTGCACCTTGATTCCTGAGGGGGACCCAGCCATTGTGGATACCTTAAACAAAAACACCACCAGGACACATCCACATCATAAATTCCTGTAAGAAACCCCGATCTCTGGGAGCCTATACACCACCATCAGCTAAATGGAGATGAATAATTATTTTTCCCTCACCTTTCACGGTTTGGTTGGTGCAGGGAAGCGTTGCCATACCAACAGCGATCCAGCCTGGCCGTAGGACAGGGCTGGAAGTGTGGAGGTGCAGGCATCCCAGGCCGAGAAGAAAACCCTCCTTCCCTTCCCTCCCTCCTTCCTCCCCTCCCTCCCTCCCTCCTCTCCCTGGAAGAGAAGCAGTTTCTCTTTGTGAGAGAGCACAAAGGGGGAAGAAAGAAAAGGAATTGTCCATCAAGCTCAGCAGAGCCTCGGGGGCTTTCAGCAGAGGATGCCACAGCCTGTGAGGAGAGCACGGCGCACTGAAGGCTGATTTTAAAAGGACAGCTCAACCCCAGCTAGCCTGAACTGCCTCCAGCAGTGCTCAGCCTGTGAAGAACATGTGGCCCTGGAAGAGTCGCTGACATCTCCCCGTGTTTTGCTGTCCACGGACTCGCTGACATCTCCCCGTGTTTTGCTGTCCACACACCAGCACTGCTCCCCTCACTCACCAGGCCCTGATGTTTGTGGAGTGCCCAGAAATGCAGCCAGAGCATTTTTGGGGGCTCACACCAGTCACCTGCTGGGTCTTCTGGGTCCCTCCTCACCTGCCAAAAACATCAGTAAACGTTACTTCAGGGAAAATCTGTCAGATACATTCATTGCCTGCCAGAGGCTGTAAATCCTGCAGGCCCAAACAGGGGTTCTAGCCAGTGCTGGAGGGAAATAAACCATGCATGGAGTGCCAGAGCTGTGTCCCATTCCAGACACCCTTCTTGAGACAATGGAACCAAAGAGGGACTGTCAACAAGTACACAGAGCAAGGTGGTTATGAGAGAAGAGTGGAAAGCAAATGAGAGAGAGCCACAGAAACGACTCAGGGCAGACACAATAAAGCTGTGTTTATCTTTATATACACATATATATGTGTGTGTGTTTGTGTGTGTACAATAATTAATGGTGCATAAAAAATAAAAGACACCTTTTTTCAAATGTAAGAGGTGAATGAGTGAAAAAAAAAAATAGAGCAATTCAAAAATTCAAAACAACACAGCCATAACATCCTCCAGATCACACAACCCCACTGAGCCTGCACTCAAAACCAGACCCAAAGACCTTGAATATCTAGAGGTGCAATTATCCAATAAAAGTAAACAAGCCTCTGGGAAGTGCAAAACTCCTTGGACTGCAGGAGAACAGTAAAACATCCATTCTTCAGAGAGAATGACAGATCACCTGTGAAAGGAGGAATCTTCAAGTGCAGGCTGAAACTTCTGAGTCAAGAGGTGTTCACATGCATTTTCCATAAGAAAGACCAGGTCTTTAAGGGATTGAGCCTGTGTTGGCCTTTGCAGACAGAGGTTCCAAACCAAGGCAACACTAAAGTGAGGAGGAAAATGGAGCTGGGTGATATCAGGACCATTGCTGCAGTTTAAGGTTCTGCTCTCCACCCTCAGCTCTCAGCCCTTTTTCTTCAGCTCCCTGTGACCTATGTCTGCCTTTCACACACCTGGCAAACCTCCCATTTTCTCTGGTTATTGATCTACAAGATATATTTCTGCATCTTCCCTCTCCTGGGCCTCACATCCTTTGGTGTCCTGATCTTTGGAGCTCAATGGTGACAAGGAGTGAAAGATTTTCACACAGTTAATGCAGTGTGAGTTAAGAGATCAGAGAAATAAGGTTATACAATGAAGTTTAATATCTTCATAAGTGTCCTGGAAGATGGACTTGGAAAGGTCTGGAAGAGTGGGATAACAAGAAACTTATGAAGCTCAACAAGGGCAAGGACAAGTCTGGCACTTGGGAATACACAATCCAGGAATAAAAAGGTAATAGGAATATAAACCTGCTCTGTGGGAAAGGACCTGGGGGTCCTGGCAGACAACAAGCTCCATGAGAGTGAACAATGAGCTGCTGCAGCACAGAGAACCAACAGGATGTGGGTTGCATCAGCCAGCAGAGATAACAAAGTCATTATCCCACTCTAATCAGCCCTTGTCAGGCCACATCTGGAACACTGTGTTCAGTTTTGGTCACTGCTACATTAAAAAAAAAAAAAAAAAAGTGGACCAGATGCAGAAGGTCCAAAGAAGGGCCACAGAGATGATCAAAGGGATGGGAAGCTGCCAGCGGAGGAGAAATTGAGACAACTGGATTTATTCAGAAAATAAGGCCACGAGGAGACCTTATCACCATGTTCTAGTACTTAAAGGGTGGCTACAGGGGAGATGGAGGCTCCCTTTTTACAAGGAGTCACATGAAAAAATGGGAAATGGGTACAGTTTGCTTCTGGGGAGATTCCAATTAGGCATAAGAGGAAAATTGTTCACAATGAAAACAATTAGCCATTGGAATTGTCTTTCCAGGGAAATGGTAGGTTTCCCAACACTGCTCACTTTCACAACTCAGCAGGAGAGAGTTGTGCCATCTTGTCCAGAACCTGCTTTTGCCAAGGTTGGATCGGATGATCCTTAAGATCCCTTTCCAGTCTGGCATCCCATGATCAGATGATTCCAAATACATTTTTGGAGTTGGCTCTTTATGACTGAAGACTCTCTCCTACCACACTTAGAGCCCCTTCAAAACCTCTTGGATGAGTAAACACCTCCCTCTTGGGAGCCTCAAGAGCTCTGACATGAAGAACGGGTCCAGCCACTCCTTTGAGGGATTTTATTAGAGTGGCTGCATCACTTTTAGAAAATAACCTTGCTGCTAAGCACTGTGAAATTTGGGTGTCTGGGAACATATCTACTCATTTCCAAAAGTTTGTCATGAACACAGAAGAGAAAAAGCTGGATTTTTCTAAAACTGTGCTGCTGGCCAAGATGATTGCAGGGATGAACTAGATGAGCAGATGTGGACCAGGCAGAGACTTCTGCTTTTCTCGGTGGAGCTATGCTTAAGTGAAATCCCTTCACCAGAAATAATGAAATGGACATCTATGACAGCATCTGGAAGCTATTTCTGGATATACTTCAACGAGAGCAAATGCATTAAGGGTGGACAAGTGTTTTATGGGAAGAGGCAGCCACGGAGAGGTTGGGAGAGCATGGAGGCCTCAGTTAGGGGGAGAGGAATATGAGAAGGAAGAAAGAAGAGAAGCAGCCAGCCCTACTTAAAAAAATGGGGAAGGCACTGCTAAAGGGTCACAGTCTGTAATCATACCAGACTGTCAAGATTTTATTTCTGCACAGGAAATATGCCAGGAGCACAACTGCTAGTCCCTGGATTAAAAAAAAAATAAAAATTGAATGGTTAAGTAAAAATTAGGGGGAGTAAGACGTCATTATAATGAATGAAAATAAAATATCTTGATCAAGCACCATTATATCAAGAGGGATGAATGGTTAAACAACATCCATAGCTACATCAGTACAACTTTCCCCTCCTATTTTTCTCCCCCTTCACAATTGCAGGGTTAAGAAATAATAGCTATGAAGTTTGTCTAAGAATGGCATTAACTGCTGTTTTGTACTGATGCAAAAAATAGAATAGATTATTACTTTATCACTGCATTTTTTTTACCTACATGTAAAAATCTTAATAAAAGCTTTAAGCTTTAAGGATGGACACCAGATGATTACTTCCTTGAAAAGTCCATTAGACACCTTGTGCTTTTATGCCACAGAACAAACACCAAAAGAAAAGTTACAGACTCAAACAATTTCTGATGTAAAAGCTTATTTCTCCTCTGCCTTTTAAAATTAAAAAAAGTCCTTGGGGAGCAAACAAATACAGCAAATATGCTGCCAAAGCCAAAAGAGAAGCTCCTCAGTGAAGATGGGAATCCGTTCCTGAGCATTTTCATCTCCTCACTGTCTCACAGGCATGCCAGAGGCACACAGCACCAGGAAAGGCCAGACACCCATTTGCAGTAATTTCAGCATCACTCCCAGTCCCATCCTCACCTCTTCAAGCATTTTAGAAATTATCTTTCTGCACGGTGCTGGGTGGTCTGGTGGTCTTTGTGACATGCCAGCTCTCTCTGGGCTCACATGGGCAGCCCCAGCTCTGGCAGCAGAGGCGTTCCATGGATTTTCAACATGGAAAACCAAACTGCATCCTCCTTGCTCCGTGTCCAGGCTCAGTGGTTCAGCAGGACACAGCACACCCTGCCTGACGCTGCTCCCTGCACAGAGCACTCCTGAAAGAGCTGCTCCTGCTCCAGATCCTGCCTCCTCCAGAGGCACTGGCATTGCCCCTGCACAGCTCCAAAGAGAGAGATCTGAACAGAAAATTCCTAAAGAGGTGCAAATCAATGCTGCTCACTTCAGTTTTAGCCCTCTGAGTGACACATCCCAGTGCTCTGCGTGCCTCCTCCACCAGGCACAGGGATGTCTTGGAAAGCATCCTTGGCCATTGTCTTTCTGGAGCTCTGGCAAAACATGTTCCACCCCACGCAGAATGCTCTTTTTTTATTCACCACAGCTTTTATTGATTTGTATTTGTCTGCATTATCTGCTGGAGTTTATTCGCTGGCTCACCGACAGAAGAGTCAAATTCTTGCTGGGTTCTCTTCATGATGTTGCTACAAAAAAAAAAAAAAAAAAAAAAAAAATAAAAAAAAAAAAAAACAGAAGGCTAAAGAAGGCTAGCAACAGTTTCTTGTTATTGATCTCTTTTTAATTGGCCAGGAGCACACCCAAAGCTGGAGGCCACAAGTTTGACTCAAAAATGGCTTTGGAGGCTGTTCTCACCCAAAACCAAACATTTCTTTGATGGGAAGCCACAGCAGGATGTCTCCTCTGATGTTCCTGCATCGAAACAAAGGGGTTTCACCTCCTGAAGAGGAAACACAAAATATACATATATACAGAGATACCTATAGATAAATCAATGCCTATTTATACCTACATATAACTCTTCATATGTAATTATGGACCTTAGGCTGACATGGTTGGACAAAAAGGGATTTTCTAAAGGAAAGAGGCTGGTTGCTTTTGCAGTGTGCCCTGATTAAATGTGTGAGCAGTCACCATTTTCACAACAGAAGATTTAAAGGAATGCTCTTCTCCTGTGAAACACTGACCCCTGGGATGTCACCTGAGGTCCACCTCACCAGTTCACTGCTGACTTCAACAAGGTCTGAAACCACTCCAAGCAT